GCCCGGGGCACCGCAGCCCTGGCGGAGGCTGGAGTGGTGTGGGCAGCGCTGTGCAGCAGCCCCGGGGACCCCTCCTCCTCCCCGACGCAGCTTCCTGAGCTCTACCAGCCCAGAGCACTGAATATAAGGGGTCCGGACTCCACCTACCTCTCCCAACCCCAAGAATCAAGGCTCCTGGCCCAAACAGGGCCGACTTTTAGAAACCAAACCAGCAATAGAATTGCAACACATTTAATCGCTTTTGCTTTTTCTTTTTAGAGGAGGAATTTGCAGTGGGGGTGAAGCTGGTGGAGAGAATTAGAGGGAGCTGTGGCTTTGAGAGCCGTTTCCTGGAGCAAGGGGCAGTGCGTGCAGGGCTAGCGAGCATGATTAGGCCGGGCTGGCGAGTAGTCCAGTGCAGGGACGTGACAGGACCGTGGGGGCTGGTTCTTTAGTCTATTGTTTCCACTCGTCAGAAAGGGCTCTTAGCGAGCATATTCTGCCAGCCCCAGCTTTCCTGGTGGAATGGAGCCCTTGCTTTGCTGTGGCTACTCACAATGGGAGTTTCGTCCACATGAAGACCTAATTCACACTGTCTATCCTGGCATTCCCACCCACCAGCCAAGCAAACCTGGAACCTGTGGTTAGCCTGGGAGTAGTGCAGATTTGCTCCCGCTCCGAGCAGCTGGGAGAAGAGTCCACATGCTCCTGCTCCATTCCTTGGCAGTGCTTCTCAAGTGCCATCACTTGGATCCTTGTTAAAGGCAGGCAGGCTCTAATTTAGAACCTGAGTGAGGCCTGCATTTCTAACAAGCTCCCAGGTCCATGCAGCTACTACTGCACACGCAGTTTGCAGAGCAAGGGATAGAACACTGATCTCAGCTGCAGCTCTCACTAAAATCACCTAAGGAGCTTCAAAATTGAACAGGTCACCCCCCCACACACACACACACATATACACATACCACTTTGGTTTGTGGGGTGCTTTTTAAAAATTAGGCTTTTCAGAGAAGCCAGAATTGAGAGCCACTGGTACAAGCAGCTGTGAAGAGAGACTTATGCTGCAGCGCAGGAGATTGAGTTCATACTGGGCTTAACCATAGATTTAGTTTAGGATCAAGTTTAGGAATTCAGTTTATGATCAAAGAACATATTTGGTCCACATAGTTTCACATCGTCCACCTTACTTCACCTTCATTCAGCCATCAAATATTTATTGAGCCGTTACATTGTACTGGACACTGTGCTAGCTACTAAAGAGCCAGTAGCAAATGAGACAGACGTGATGTGTTTAAACAGGTGACACGATCAGATTTGCATTTTAAAAAGATTACCCTGGCTTCGGAGTGAACAGATTGGAGAGAGGCCAAGTGCATGTGTGGGGAAGATGTGGCATTAGGCCAGGTGAGGGATGATGGTGGCAAGGATCAAGGTAGTGGCAGAGCGCAGTGGATGACTTCAAGAGCAACCTAGGAGTTGACATCAACAGAAACTGATAATGGATTGAATGTGCAAAATGATGAGAGAGGAGATTTGTCTGGGATTTCCTCTTTGGGACACTGAATGGATAGTGATGCCCCAGAGCTAGAGAAGACTGGAAGAGGACCACACTGGGAAAGAAGGCCATATATTGGGTCCCAACAGAGATGTCATGTATGCACTGAGGTAAACTGACTTAAACTCAGAGGAGCCATCAGAACTATAAATATAAATTTGGAAGCCATCCAGCTAGGTATTCAAAGCCAAGGATGGAATGGGTCACCTGGGCAAAGATTGTGGAATGGCAAGGGACGGATGAAGGTAGGCCTTGAGGAGCTCTTAACATTTGACAGCAGGCTCTTCCAAGGTCGGTACAATTTGGGCTGTGCTAGCCTCCCCCCCTTCTAGTCACTGTCATCTTTCTATCTTACTCATTAAATACCTTTGATAAAACAACTCATGGTTTCCTCCTCTTCCATAAGCACAGCGTCATCATGGATGACTTCAACATTCTAGCGGACGTCCCTGCCAACATGATAAGGAACTGTTTCTTGACTTCTTCATCTTTATCATTGTCGACACTACTCGTCAAGCAATACTCAGCATAGTTACATCTAGGGCTTTGAAATGTCTCTCACCTGTGCCACTTTAAAATTCACTCTTTCGAAGCCTCCCTTTCTGCCACATCTTTATCTTCCCAGTTTGCTTGCTTATTCCCAGGAGAATCATTCTTCCCCTCAGTTTGCATGACTAGCCCACTGATCCAACTCTTCTCCACTTCATCAGCCTTCTAGTACCTTCACTTCCTTGTTATCCAGCTCTGTCTGATTTGTTGTTTCAATATCGAGGACTGGCAATGATCACCATGCTCCCAAAAATAAGAAGGGTCGAGGCTGAGCTCTTTGGTGAATGTTCAAAGGATGGGTTTCTGTAACACAGATTAAAATTTAAAGCTAGATGCTCTGGGTGCCAAGAATGGTAACACGAGTACAGAAACTGCCATTTCATTTTGAAAATGGACATGCTGATCTCATATCCTGTGTGTGTATGTGTGTGTGTGTGTGTGTGTGTGTGTGTGTTTTCTTTTTTTTAATTTGCTTTAAGGGGGTGTATTTTTTTCTGTAGTTTGTTCTCATTTGTATTGTCGTATTTCTTTTTGTTTTGTCTTGATGTGTTCTTACATTCTTACCTGGATAAATTCACTGCCCAACTCAAGCTACTAAAATATCCCGGGATAAGGGGGGGGTGTGCTTTTTAAAGAAGCATTTGTGGATCAGCTCAAGCATCTGGACAAGTGTTTGGATGGAGCTCCAGGATATTGGGTCATTGAACAGGAGCACATGTTATCAGCCTGTGCTTTTGGGAAAATAGGTATACCTTGTCATTTACCATTAATGACCTCAGATCTGCTGTTTGAGTGGCACAGGCTTGAGCCTTGGATTGGACTCATGTTCTGAACAGAGGGAATGTCAAAGCCAAAGCCAAGAAGGTGGAATGTCTGTGATACTCCCAGGGAATGGGGATTAACCTAGTTTGTCTGGTATGGTGTATCTGGAAAGGAATGGGAGACCCCACTGCCAGTTTTGATCCCATGGTGGCCATACCACCAGGTGACAAACTAATTCATAGACAGTCATGCGATAGAGGGTGAAACTGTTGGGGTGAGACTACACAGGATGATTGCAAAGGGTCTGTGCTGGCTGATTTAGGCTCCACTTGGAAGAAGGCACTGACTGCAAGGGCTAGAACCAATTGTAATCAGATGCACATGCTCTAACAAGGGGCTCTTGGCTTTTTGTGTGTGTGTGTGTGTGTGTGTGTGTGTGTGTGTGTGTGTGTGTGTGTGCTGCAAACTCTGAGGAGTCTGTTAAAGCCTATGGTCCCCTTCTCAGAGTGATAGAGTAAACGCATAAAAAAATACAAAGGATTATAACAAAAACCAATTATACTGAAATGCAGATATCAACACAGGGGTAAAGTTTGTGGTATCTTGCCTCACTATTAGCACATTAAATAAAAAGATCTGAAAAAAAAGATCTGGCAACAAGTCTTGTAGATATCATAATTTCAAAGTAGTAATGAACATATTGCTATTATAAGAAACCTACTTCCCTCTAATGTGATATGAACGTATGAGTCATTTCTGTTAGAGGCCAGGTCACAGCTCCTCTAATGCTACAGTGATTTTTTGCCTGAGTTTATGATTATAAGAAATGCAAAAAATGCACTTAAAAGATAGCAGGAATAAAGATGTACTTCTCTCCATCCAAGTTCATGAACTCTTTGAATTTTAGCAGATCCCTTAGAGGATCAGGGACCCCAAATTAAGAGTCTACATAGACTTTCTAGTTTTCATCTGTAGAAATTGCCCTTTGTATTTGTCTGTTTGGGCCGCAGTTTTTGTAGCAAAATAACCTAGCCTGGATGGATTATAAACATCAGAAATTAATTTCTCACAGTTATGAGGTCTGGAGAGCTCAAGATCAAAGTGGTGGCAGATTCTCTCTGGTGAGGGCCACTCCTTCATAGATGTATCTTTTGGCTGTGTCCTCAGATGGTGAAATGGGTCAAAGATCTCTCTGCAATCTCTTTTATCAGGGAACTAATCCCATTAATGAGGGTTCCACCCTCATGACCTAATTACCTCCCAAAGCCCCAACCTTCTAATACCACCACCTTTTGGGTTAGGATTTCAACATATGAACTTGAGGGTGTTGCTATGGTTTCAATAATGAATGTCTCCCAAAGGTCCACATAATACTCAGTCTCCTGGTAGAACCTTTAGGAGGCAGGACCTAGCAGAAGATCCTTAGGTTGTTAGGGGCTGGGCCTTGGAGGAGATCATGGGAGCTATGTCTCTACTGCTCTCTTTGCTCTGTGGTTTGTGATATGAGTGGTCTTGCTCTCCGCATGCTCCCACCATGATGGGCTGTCTTACCATGACCCAAAAGCAATGGGGCCAACCGATCATGAACTGGAACCTCCAAAACTGTGAGGCACACTGAATATTTTTTTCTTTATAAGTTAAAACTCTCAGGTATTTCATTATAGTTACAGAAAGCTAATAAACACAGGGGAAACTGACATCTAGAATATAGCACTGTTTCAAGTCTCTTTTTTGAGGGCTCTTTTCCCAGAGGCAATGGTAGATTAGAGATTTGATTTTTGGAAATCACCTGAGGTTCTACCTTCCTTTTTCTGTCTTC